CATAAAATCACGTGGCGGCTGCGCAGCCTCGGAAGGCTCCAGGTCCTCCTCGGCCTCCTCGCCGCTGAGCCGTGCAGTTGGATCCTTCGGTGCATTTCCGTTTTGCTCGGGGGCTTTCGCACTTCACTTCAGAGCTTGATGCTACTTCCTCCTCATCGCTGTCGCGACCCGCCTCCAGGTCCACTTCCGCCTGAGTTTGATGTGAAACGTGTGACGAAGCTCCCCACCCTGTTCATGATTGCTCGATGGCTCGAAGTGCTTGATGCTACTTGCCCGGGGGCGGTGCCGTCAAGCCGGGCGGGAGATTCGGGACGTTGTCGAGGCCCTGCAACGGCTCGACGCCCGCCTCCAGGTCTACCTCCACCTGAGTTTGATGTGAAGAAGCTCCCCACCCCGTCCCGTAGCGTCATGGCACGGCCTGCGACGGGCCACGGACCCCATCCCGGCCGCGGCGGAGCCAAAGCACAAGGGCCTGGTGCTGCACATCCCTTTCCGTCGCGCAAAGGCTGGGGCGGTCTCTGCAAGTCGCGGGCCGCCGCTGCGGCAAACACGGCCACGGAAAGCAGCCAAAGGAAGACCTTACGACGAAAGCACTTCAAGCAAGGGCAGGAGCAGGCCGGTGAATCCGAGTCCCGTGCTTGCGAGCGCTGCCCCGCCTCATAGGCTTGCAGCAGCTCCAAAGGCTTGCTCTGCAACGGGCCGTTTGGCCTCGCGGCAGTTTGCCGGAAATTTCTACCTCTCTTTCTTTCGCGCAAGTCTTTTTCTTTCTTTCACGCTGGCTCTGCGCCCGACAGCTGTCTATCTCTCTCTCTCTCTCTCTCTCTTTCACTCTCTCTCTGTGACCCTGCGGATGTCACAGCTGAAAGGCTTTCAGGGCGAAGCAAAACTGTGCGTTGTACCCAGCCCAACGCTCCGGGGCCCAGGCAACTGGACTGCTTCTTTAAACAGCGAGGGCATGATTGCTACGAGACGCTACGAGTAGCTACGGCGCGCCCAGCAGAGCTCTGTTGCTGCGGCGTTTTGATGCAACTGCACCCGATTGCGCACATGGAGTTGCCATTCAACGAACCCATCCCTTTCCCAGCAGCTGCTTCTATCGTGATGGCGAGAAAGCACGAACATGAACGAACCTTTCGACACCATCGAGACTTCTAACCGCTTCCGGAAGAATGTACTCAAAGCCTTCCTTGTAGAAGAGCCGGATTTTTGCTCCACATGGCACTGGCTGCGGCCGCACCGGCAACTCGCGGGCACATCTCGGAGCAGATTCAGATGAACTTGATTAGGCGTCTTCTGCGCTTCTAGCACGTGGCTCCGCAGATGCCCACAAACTTG